GGAAAAAAAAGACATGAAACAACTAGTTCTGGCACCTACGGACTCGCACAGTTTATTGTTTCCAAAACCGGTTCTTTTTCATTGATTCTTTTTCATTTGTTTAGGGGTTTTTTAATACATAAAATTTTTCCAAAGACTGACCAGATACAACGCCCTTTAAATATGCTGGTATTCTCTAATGTGAGTGTTCAAAAAAAGGAGGACAGAGTAGAGAAACAGGAAAAGATATCACAAGAGGGAAATCTGGTTAATCTTTTCCCCATGAGAAACAGACGGACAGCAGTGGATTTATCTGCTCTGCAGAGGTAGTTTCACTCCTGTAGCAGCACACAGTGCTACCTCTGCCCAGTCCACAGTGAATCCAATCCAACAACAACAACAAATCCGTCCATCCACGTCTCAGTCTTCCCTGGCTGCCATAAACATCTCCTACGAACAGGTGGCCACTCAGATGTGCTGGTTTGGGCTGTAAGGCGGCTGCCTTCTATTTATCAGTTTTTTTAATTCAAGCCTTTTATTTAGCTATCCATCACTTTGACACCTGTAACGCAGTAAACGGACTTTATACAGGCAAACAAAAATCAGAAAATTTACTTAAGATATTGAATCCACTAATTTAATTAGAGATATCATGATAGTGTGGGTAAATAAGCATAAAACCAACATGCCGAGTGCTACAGGATTTAATAGACTTTACGCTAGTGCCCTACTAAAGATACGAGGGGGGGGTGAACTCCCATCAGCTAACACCTATCCGCTGTACTTTGGTACTCAGTACTGAAGACAGTGCAATCATACGTTGCTTTACAAAATGCATCTGAATGGCATCCAGTAAATATAAAGGATACCAGCTTGTTGTATCCCTAGACACAAAGCAATCTGGCTTAAGGGACAGGAGATACAAGTAGAGACAATACCCCGTACTTTGAAAAACACGCGACAAAAAACATATGACGGTCTTACTCCAACAAGATGTGATCGTTTAGGGGCGCACCACACTGCCTGATGAAATAGGAAGTTTTACTCGGCGAGATCTGACATTCTGCAGCACGTTTTAAGTCCCTGGAGCCTGCTCGAGCGTGCAAAGCATCTCTCGTCTCCTAACAGCAGCGGTGACGGGCCGATAATGTGACCCCTGCTCCCCAAGGTGCTCTACCCCGCGGTGCGCTCCCGGACAGTCCTTGGGCACACCGGCATCCCCCGCCAGCGCAGCAGCGCTTGAACAGGCGTTCCTTTTGCCATCTGTCGCAGCAAGTACGTGCTACAAGCTGGCTATGAGAAAGTACCGAGCAAAGCACACAGCAGCTTCCAGTTAGGAATCTACGGGGAAACAGAAATCAAGGGGGAAGGAGGCAGGGGCAGGGTGGGAGGAGGGAGAGCGAACCAAGACAAACGCGCCGGGAGCCCAATCGCTCCCCCGCCACCCCCGTGCGAGCGCTGTGAGCCCACAGGCTTTTCTCCATCAGGATATCATATTTCCCAGGCCTGGCTAGGAATGAACACCTAGAGAATAAGCAGAAGTCAGACGCACGTGGTTTGTAACGTGCTGCTGGAACAAAACAGCCCTGAAGAGATTATCAGTCGCTTTATCCAGGGCCAGACCGGGCTCTAAACCCGCAGCGGCCGGCGAATGGATGGCAGCAGGTAATCCTGTGACTCACCCGGGCATTCGACATCCCAGACACTGATTGCTGCTTCTGCCAGCCTAGTTATCAAACAGGCTGACTAACCTCAGTAACGCAACGCCCCTTCCCCCCGCCTTGCGTCGAACAACAATTTCTCCCAGGATTACTGCTGGCCAGCAGCAGCTAACCTTCTCTGACATACAGCACTTCTTGCCGCGTGTAAATCAAGAGGTTTGAGGGCAAAGCGTTGATTAGAACACAAGGAACAGATCAGAGGTGTGCAGCCGTCTGTCCGCTCCAAGCATTTGTCACAGCGTGGAGCTAAGCCCCTTCCACTCCCTCCCGAACTGAGCCGAGGTTCGTACCCCTTCCGTCAGTGTCTCACGGGGACGTTCAACAGGTTAGTGTCCGTCCCCTCTCTACAGAACAGGCACAAACCTACACGGTATTAATCCCGCTGGATTTTAAAGGAAAGCGTAAGGCAGAGCCGGGAAGGGGACTCTGATCCTGCCTTTACGTCTGGCGCCCGGGCTGGCTTGGGAACTGGCAGCATGCAGGCTCCCAGCCGCGACGGCACGGCGATAGCTCTACCCACCTCAAATTCTAGTTCGGCCCCCCAGCCGCGACGGCACGGCGATAGCTCTACCCACCTCAAGTTCTAGTCGAAAAACACAAGAAATTACCTTTGTCAGGCTTGAAAACCTGCTTGTAAATTGCTTCCACCCTATATTGAATCAATCGCTAGTTGAGAATAACCACTCTTATTTGCTGATCTCTTGTCTAATCCCTAGCAAGTATTTGCCTCCTCTCATCCCTGAAATACAGAGAAATTCGCTAAATTTCAACTCACTTGACAGCGAGTGCCCAGGTGAGGTCTAACACTAATATAAAAGCACGCACTGACATTGTTAGAGACCTGAAAGAAAAATGAACAGAAGCTAGGAAAGGAAAAATCATATTTGTTTAAATTTTAAAATACAGCACACACAGCAGGGAAAAAAAGGGGCAGGAGGATAAAAGCCTTAGGGCATCTTTATCAACTCCCACCCTCGCAGAAGTCCACAGCTCTCCTCCTGCACTCAGGTCTTTGGAGACAACCTGTAATCACAGCCAGAAAACCTTCTGGAAGTTTGGTAACATAAATAAAATGCAAGAATGTTACTGTAAAATTAGAGAGAACATCACGGTGGAATAGGTATCTGAGGTACTGTACAGTAATTATTATTTAAAGATTTCCATTCATGAAATGTCAAAGGAATATCAAGAAAAATCCATTCCGATTAGAGAAATTTAAACCAAATATAATATTAAAAATTTTACTTTTCTGCTCTCTGAGATTAACTAAAGTAGAAAAAACCCCCAGTGACTCATATTAATGACACTATGCTTAAGAAAACGCTTTTGACATACCCTCAAACTTTATCTTATTTTCAAATAAACATAACTCCACTAAGAGCTAATTTTTGCATTAAAGCTTTTCATTTCAAAAATCATGCTGGTATGTTGGGATTCTTTTTGTAACAATGCTGTTAGTCAAGACTGAGTGCTCTGAAATTTCAAGAGTCAGGTCTTGGGCATCATTTCTACTGGTAGGAACTTCCTCACCAATAGGTGCAGGCTGAATCAGACATCTCGTGCCATAGTGAAGAACTTAAAGCTGATTTTAAATCTATTCCTCTAAGTGAGGTGAGCAGACATTTACAGTTTTCAAAAAATATGAACTCTCAAACTGCAATAATTCAAGACTCAACAAGCAGAAGTGATGCGCTGAACCGAGGTTTCAAACAATGGGTTAAACTGGGCGCACAACATTTCAAGGTATTATCCAACTTACCCTAAAGGCAGTTCCTTCCTCTATAATTGTAGGTAATTGGGAAAGGCAAATATCAACTGCAAGGTCCCATGCTTGCCTAGAGAAAAAGGTGAGAGAGGAAAGAGAAGTCATTACAAGTTACCCATAGGTAATATGAAGGTAAATTTAAAATTCAGATCATACAAGTATCTCGACAAAGCAGTGTTGTCCGACTGGCTTAGAAGTGCTTAATATTCCCTTTTTTTTAAAGGATAGATATAACACATGAAAACTATTCAGAGAAACAGTGAGAAGGTCTAGACCAGCATCACATCGGGCTGCCCAGCAAAATGCGAGGTAAAAAGATCCCTAGCGAAGTTCACAGAAACTGCTCCTCTCTGTAACACAGAGAGAAGCCAGAGTGAATTCAAGTCTTATTATATACCTGTCCTCATGCAAAAATGGATGACTTTTTTTTTTTTTTTAAACTAGAAAAATGAACTCAATCCTGGATTAGCTCCAACCCATAATCCTTCTGCACACACCTCCACACGCATCCAAAACCTCGCTTGCTCTGTATTCAAGTCATAGAATGATAGAATCGTTTAGGTCGGAAAAGCCCTTTAAGATCATCCAGCCCAACCATTAACCTACACTACCAAGTCCACACTAAACCAGTCAAGGGTTGACCAGACTGAACCATGTCCCCAAGTGCCACCTCTGCCCGTTTTTTGAACGCTTCCAGGGATGGGGACTCCCCCACCTCTCTGGGCAGCCTGTTCCAATGCTTGACCACCCTTTCCGTAAAGAAATTTTTCCTAATTTCCAACCTAAACCTCCCCTGGCGCAGCTTAAGCCCATAAGTCACACCAGCTCAGGAAGATGCGGTCCTGCTGACAAGCCCTCCAACTCACAATTCATGGATACACCCACACCACCACACTAATTCTCCTTTTCAGCATCCTCGACACAGGCACTGTGTCACTGCGCACGTCGCTGAGAGAAGGAACGCAGTCTCCATTAATCTAATTCCGAGTTGGGTTTCGTGTGGCAACCTTGTTTACAAAGGTTGGCTCTACATGACTCACCCTAAGCATGGAGGGGTGTACACTAAACTAGATGAAAAGAAAATGTTTAAAGATTCCAGTTTTTACACTTATCTACTATACTATTTAATGGCCACAGTATTGTGACTTACAATATTTTAGTGTTACAGTTATAACAGCACATAAATTACGTACAGCGGCCAAGGAACCTGTTGTGGCTGATTCAGTGCGAATGAAATGTGCTAACAGTCTGCTTCAAAATGCTCACAAACTAAAAGAGGACCAAATTAAAATAAACGCATTTAGTCTCCGAAGTTCCTAAAACACCTCTAAAAAAAGTGAAACGGTTACTTCTTACCCCAGAAACAATTGTCCCTACTCTACCTTCCAATGCACTTTTCATTTTAACATAGGAATTTATGCACTCCGAAAGGCTGGGTGTCTTACACAAAAGAAACTCATTTACTCTCCAGACACATTTGCTCTTCCATGGCTTGTGGCCATCATGTGTTAACATCAATAGGCTAAGCAATTTTTCTTCTCCTAGGAACATTTGCAGACATAAGGCCATAGGTGATAATCAATACAGCGTATTTTAGTTACCTGCTCTAATAAGTTCTTAAATCACCCTGTTTTGAGTCAAACAAAGACTTCCATTAGAACAACTGCTGAGCGAAATCTATCCCATTAGCCTAACTGGCGGCTGTTCTCAACCGAAAACAATCTCTCCAATTAGATGGAAAAATAAACTATAAGGCTCTTGCATTTTTTTTTATGGATTCTAGAGATGCAGCCTGTTTTAGTTGCCCCAGACCCTGTCCCTCTGCTTCACAGCATTCACCTTCCACTTGACAATATGCTGCCAATATAATTAAGAGGTAATCAAGAGATAATCAAAGCGCGGGCAACAAATGCTTCCCACATGCTCAATAAAGACCCATGCTGGAGACAAAATGTTTACACAGAGCTGATGAGAGAGATATTTATTCTGGGTTGAGGCAGAAGCAAAGTCAATTTGTACAAATATAAAGGTAATTCTACTTCAAGCAAGGAATGAATATTTCTGACTTTCAGGTTTCTTGGCGAAATGGGCAATACCACCTGAAGAAATTCTCTCAAACATTAGAAAATGTCAATACCTAGTGGCTTCAAGATAAGTTTTACTACACGGGAGAAGAATGGTTTAGAGATCAAAGACAACTAGTCTTATTTCAGCCGCCTACAAAAGGATTCTGCGTAGGTACAGAGCTAAGATACTGAGCTCCTCAAAGTCATTTTAGGTAAGAAGCACTAATACCACTATAAAAATGTCCCAAGCAGCCCTGCAAGGTCAAATCTCAAAGGTTTTAAGTGTTATCAGAAAGGACAAACAAAAATTTAAAAAGAGATTTTAGCAGATTAAAACAAAATCTCTTTTTTACACTTCTAAAAACAGGCCATTAAAAATCAATGTAGCCACACATAGCCAATGTTACTCAATCTTTTAAAAGAGTAACCATACTCTTATATGTATAAATAATATAAAATCTTAACATTACTGCTCATCACAATCTAGAGAGCTGCTGATTAACATCAACTGTGTAAGAGACTCTAATCAATTCAAATACTTAAAATGGTTCCCCAGCCTTTCCAAACTAGCTCAACACACCTTTTCTGCTCTGTCTCCACAGGAAACAGAAAACCTCCCCACCCAACGAGACACGTGAGCAAAGAAGTTTTGCCTGAAGTAAAAGTCACGCTATTTCCAGCTACTAGAACAGCTCCACGTTACTTGCAAGACTTGAGGTGGCACAGCTCATGAATGAGGTGTCAGCTAACTCACTGCACTGGCAAAATAGACAGTGGCATCAAACAGGCATTACAATAATTAAAAGATTCAAAACAAGCCACACAGGAATGGTAAAGGATGAACGCCATGGAGTATGTGAAGAGAACAGAAGGGGAAAAATACTTGTTACAGTCATGGTGGAAATAATGGCTGCTGGTGGTGGGGAGGAGGAGCAGTGATTGACTGTTTTAATATGCCAGAGGGAACTAGAAAGGTGGGCAATTTGTGGATGTGCTCTCTGAACTAATATTACAGTTTAGCACACAAACAAGAGATAAATTAGGGAGCAGCAGGGGAACAAAGATGGGTGGCACTGCATCCTGGAAGTGATTTATGAAAGCCAACCCAAGAGATCACTACCTCTCTTCCCTCTTTGCTTCTGCTGTTCGGTGCGCTTTGGAAGATTTCTTTTCACTACATTAGGTGCAAAAAGAGCTGGGTAACACCTCAGCGTCGTTCCTTCCTCCTTCCTTATTGCGCTCTTCAGTACCCCTGGCCCTCTTCCGTACCCCTGGCCCGCTCACTGCGACAAGACGACGCTATGATGCATCCACGGGGCAAAAACCTACTGACGCATCGCAGTGTCTCAGCTTCACTCCATTATGCTACTAAAGAACGTGTTAGTGAGGCTTTTTATACTACGTTGTCCTAATCGATCTGTGTGTACAACAAATGGATAGACGACTTGCATAAGAAGAGAGAACAACTCCTCTTTGTACATCCCAGTTAATTTAGAAGCGATCACACACTTAACGTAAGGTTTTATACACCTTCCTGTTACGTCTCCCCAAAAAGGGCAATAAAACCAAGCAATCCCACACAGCGACCGGTTTGACCAAGTCCAAAGGATTTCCATCCTACACCACCTATCAGGAGGCGGCCGTTTCTATGCGGTGTAACCCCAGTGCGTACGAGGCAGCACCTAGAGAGAACCCGCAAAGAGGCGCCGCAGGAGGTGAAGCTCGAGCTACCCGGCAGCGGGACCGCCAGCCCTCAAACCACAAGTTCAAAAGATTTTTTTTTTTTTTATGCAGTCAACCACACAGCATGGCTATACTTACCTGGCAACTTTAATAGCATCACATCTCAAAAAAGGCAAAAGCCTTTCGCAGTGCTCCACACTACGCCGTGCAGCAATCTCATTAAAGAAAGGGGTCACAGTCACAGACTTTCAACTATGTTAGGATGGGGGACTCCTTAGGTTTAACTACCGAGAAAACATTCTCACTCTCATGCATCTCCTGTATATGTTTCAGAATAAATGTATACTAAACCCTCTCCTTAGTTGGAAGATTGACTCAGTTAAAAAACAGGCAAGAAAGTGCTTTTGTTTATCCAAAACAAGCAAAGCAACGCAGCATGCCAAAAGAAACAGTCTGCAAAGAAAACAAGCCAAGGATGCCCTGCCTCTCTGTCTGCACCGATCAATCAGTTCAACAAGGTACTCAACATACAAGATGCAAGCCATCATCCTGGGAAAGGATACACCATTTCAGAATATACGGAAATTAAAAATGAAAAGGCATTGCTCCTCCATAATTCTGC